CACGTTCCAGCAGAGCCTTGGTGCGAAACTTGCATGGCTACAAACACCAAAGAGGATCGAGCTCTAGCAAGGCCAAGGCTGGGTGAAGAGATGGGAAGCATGCCAACTTTCAATTTTTTTTATGCCATCACAAAATGCACAGACGTTTCAAGTGAAGAGGTTCCAGTGCTTGACATGCCAATTGTTACAACATTTGTTGGAGTGGACAATTGGACCCGTTCATGCATTGCAGTGCCTGTTGTTGAGAAAAGTACTCGTTCATTGAAGCAGTTGACACAGTGGGTTACGATGATGTTTGCTTGAAATCAGACAATGAACCAAGTTGCAAACAGCTTCAAGAATCCATCATTGCTACTCGAGCAGCATTGGGGCTTCGTACATTGTCATCTTATGCTCCAGCAGGTGTTGGTCACGCAACAGGCAATGCGCGTGTTGAAAGGATGATTCAAAAAATTCGCAGACAGGCCATGTGTTTGAGGCTTGACATTGAGAAGAGTTACAAAATGAAGCTTGACAATCATGCTTACATTTGGCCGTGGTGTTTCAATCATGCCAGTTTTTTGATTCAGAGGTTTCAAGTGCACAGGCAAGTTGGCATGACGGCATATGAACAAGTCACAGGTGCACCCTATCAAGGCAAGTTGTGCAAGTTCTGTGAACCAGTTCTTTACAAGACAGCTGCCCAGACGTTTCCTGGTATCGTGGGATATGGCTGGGAAAGAGTGAAGATTCAGATCGACATATCATTGGAACTGCAACAGGTGTTTGTGGTCTCGAACAGTCAAACGCATTGACGGAGAGTGGAACGTGATGCATTTGTATGTCATGAGAGGTCTTCCTTGGGATCCCCGTGCATTGATTTCAGATGATGCTTTGAAAGACTTGCGGCAGAAGCCATTGGCCATTCAGGAGGATGCTATTGCAGGTGGGGATAGTGATGCAGACAGTGACATTCCAGTGCCACCTGTTGAAGCTGTGGATGCTTTGATGCCTCAAGAGCCAGGACCTCCCTCGTCGTATGGTCGAACCACCTTCGTCAGCTGTTCTTGCAGGAATCCCTCCAGCAGTACTCGTGCAGATCCCTGAGACGCCAGATATGAAAACAGTTGGTGAGCAAACACGGGGCTCCGAAATTGGTGCGCTTCGCAAGCCTACCAGTGGACAGGAGGTACAGACCAATCCTCCAGCAGATCACAACCTTGGGGCCAGTCACGGTCTCAAACGATGCAAGTCCTTTGGAGGAGGTTGACAGTCAAGAGCAAAAGAAATACATGTTGCCTTCCTTGTCAGAGAGCCAACAGGGTAATTCTTCACCATCCGTGCCAGATGAGTCGGTACGGAGGATGATCCAAGTCGATGGTGAAATTTGCCTGACGGAGACGAGCTTGGAGATGGTTGGGAGTACTACATTCCCGGTGATGAGGAGTTCGATCAGTTTGATCAATACAATTTCACTGGTGAAGCTCCACCTGAGCTCAGTCCTGAAGATTTGGCGGCTATTGAGTTGGTTGGACACCTGTTCCTGCTGCTGCAGAGACTTTTGGCAAGCAGTTCATGTCCACACGCTATGTCAGGGATTGGCGTTGGAGGAATGAACAGTGGAAACGCAGATCTCGATTTGTCAGCAGGGAGTTCAAATGGTTGGAACCTGGGCGTGATGAGTTTTATTCTCCAGCATCCAGCGTTGCTTGTGCAAAGATTCTTTCAAGCATTTGTTTGCAAAAAGGTTGGTGCATGTGGTCAATTGATGTGAAGAATGCCTATTTGCTTGTTCCACAGCCCACGGAGGTTTACGTTGAGCCACCAGGCATTTGGGCAGAGAAGAATCCTGGCATGAAGTGGCGGTTGAACCGCCTCCTTCCGGGGCAACGTGTTGCAGCTCAGGAGTGGTGGAAATTCGCAGTTGCAACGTTTAAGGAGCGTGGATTTGAAGTGTGCCAAGCTTGTCCATGTTCGCTTCGTCACAGCAACGGACTCCTTTCGATGCATGTTGATGACCTACAATTTATTGGCCCTCGAAAAGAAGGGACAGAGATTGTTGACAAGCTCCAAAAGGCATGCACTATGGATGTGCAGGGACCTTACAGTGAACCTGGTGACACTTGTCAGTTTCTGAAGAAGTATTTTCATTTCAATGAAGCTGGCATTGCAATCCGTCCAAATGAGAAGCATTTTCTGGCGCTTGAGAAGTTGTTGAAAGTGAACAGTGCTGGAAAGAAGTTGAAAGGTCCTGTGCATCCTGATTTGTGCAAGGAGGACAAAACCGAGTTCTTGCCACAGACAAAAGCAGAGACTTATCGCGAAGCTGTTGTCATTATTTTGTACGTGAGCAGTGACAGACCTGACATTCAATATTGTACAAAGTTGCCTTCAGCTTACATGAGCAAACCCACAGAACTTGCATGGAAGGGCTTGATTCGACGCAGTCAGTATCTTGTCCAAACCATGGGCTATGCAGTTCAGTTGAAGCGCAATACACCTGGCACCACATGGCTTGGTGGTGCTGGAGGCTATAGTGAGCAAATTGAGGGAGACCCGTCCATTCTGGAATGCTATACAGATGCAGACTGTGCTGGGCATGTGAATAGGAAGAGCACTAGTTCTGGTGTGATGTTGTTGGATGGGAACCCCATATATTCCTGGAGCCGCACGCAACGTACACCAGCGCTTTCAAGTGGTGAGAGTGAATTCATGGCCTTGGTCACGGGAGCATGTGAGTCACTTTATGTCAAAGCATGCGTTGAGTTTCTTTTGAAGGGACAGGTGCTTGTCCAACTTCGAAGTGACAGCGTGGCTGGAAGAGGCATTGCAAAGAGACAAGGGCTGGGCAGAGTTCGACACTTGGAAGTCCAGTTCCTATGGATCCAGCAGAAGCTTGCTGAAAAGCTTTTCCGACTTGGGCCCATTGCTTCACTGGTGAACAGTGGAGATTTGGGTACAAAAGCTTTGCAGGTGCGTCGGTTGAATTTTCTCCTGGGGCTTCTTGGCTTGGTAGATTGTCATGAGAATTTTGCCCTGGTTGGAAAAGATGAATTAGAGAAACAGCAGCACGATTCCTTGTTCAGGGAGAAATTCAGAAATGCGTTGAAGATCTTTAGGTGTGGTTTCGAAGATGATCACAGCATGTCCTCAAGGGATGCAGCTTTGGTCAAACAAGTTTTGCAATTCTGCATAGCTTCAAGCCTGATGCCTGGAGCAGATGGTTTCCAAGTTGAGAGCTTGAATAGAGCATTGTTGCATTTTGCATTTGTGCATTTCTTCTCGTATGTTTGGCTTTCCTTGCTGGAATCTTCCTTGGCAGGGGCTGTACCCGGCGTGTGAGAAGTGAAGAGCAGAATACAGAAACTATGAGCATTGGGTTGAAATTCGCCGAGCGGAACCACCGATGACCACGATGATCTGCAGGGTCCCTCGTGAAGTTTTCATCACACCTCGAGGGAATGCGTATCGCCAGATGGAATGCACGCATGTGCAGAGATCCCAAAATATGCAGAGGTATGTGCCTTGTGGTACGTGCGTGGATGGACCGCCAGACTTTGATCCATCCCAAGCTTCAAGCAGCAACTCACAGAGTCCTGCAGGGATTGAACCAGATCATGAAGACCAGATTCGAATTCTGCAGGATGAGCGTGTGAGGCGTCGAGTGATTTACAACAGACAGTTGCGTGAGAATGACCCAACTGTCAAGCCTGAAGTAGAGATTGTGTAAAGGCCTTGAGCCTTGAAAGAAAAAGATCAGATACAACCAACTTTTGCTTCTTTGGCGTTGGTTGTAGGTGGGGTGTTGATCTTTTGATCCACCATGGTATGTCTCATATGTGTGCCCAATTGAGGCCTTTACTTGTTCAAGTGGTAGTTGAAAATAGGTGCGTGATCTTGCTACCGTGTCAACTCAAACCAGCAACGAGGTCATGAGCCCAGACCTCCAGAAGTGTTTGAAAGAGCTTGAATATGCTCAGATGCAGTGCTTCAGTAGGGAGACCTACATAGAAGAGTTGGAAGAGCGACTGAAAGCTGTACAAGAGACTATGGATGACTTTATGATCCAAGTCAGGCTTTCGGACGCTCGAGCAACAAGAGTAGAGAACCAGCTATGCCAGCTGCGCATGACGGTCAGCGGCAGAGCGGTGCACTTTTCTCCCAAATGTAAGCATTGGGAGCGTGCATAAGAACTCCATATGTGCAAAGTCTGTACACAGGAAGGAGGAGTGACAGAGATTCATGAGAGTTCACACACTAGCACATAAGGGTTCAGTCCTGTGTACATGACACGCACAAAACGAGACTGTACCGATGGCCGAATACAGGCCCAAGCTTCATAGCAAAACCGTCTTTCAAAAGGCGTGTTAATTTAATGTATATAGTTGCAATCAGTCAGTCAGTTGTGTTCAATCGTGCGTTTTGCCACGATTGATTGAAGTACAAACCTGACAAAAACTTGCTCAATAAAACGCAATATTGCTTACCGACCTGCAACATGTTCTACGAGTCTGACAGATTGCGATTGCAAAAGCCTACCTCATTTAAATTGGTTCCATGTTCAAACGCATTTCTTCGGAATTACGAAATGTTGCAATCAGCCTGTGTGCGATCGTGTGTGCATGTGTCATACACACACCAATGCGGAAATTTTCCTTATGTTGCTTTCACTGCAAGCGGGGGCCCACCCCACGTTTATACGAATATTTCAGAACTCGGAGGTCGTGGACAGACCTTGCCCCCAGTTTGTGACAGAAACCTAACACGCGCCATGAACATCTGAACATGGGGAGCTGGGAGCCCACCAAAATGAACAGCTGAATTTAGGCTGTTTGGGAGTGTAATTGAATGGTCAAGTTTTCATCAGGCACTTGTAAACGAACATTAGCTGATCGGTCAATCAGTGTTCATTATTTGCTAGCTTGTTCGTTGGGTCCTTTGCCCCAAACCGGTTGACTGTTCGACCACTTGACTGGGCCCATGATCTCTCATTCGATCTCCAGTGAGTAGCACCCCACACCACCGGGTAGATCGTGCTGAATTCCAGAGACGGCCGCCTCCGCGGTTGCGGGCCTCGACAGCTGATTTTGTCTGCCGGGACACGTTCGCGCAGTCCCACGACCCGCCTGGAGACTCAGAGGATCAGTCGGGAGGACATGCGGTTGAATGGCCATGGTCTGATCAGTGGAGGAGCTCACACTCTTCTTCTTAAGTTGGAAAGCGGGATCTTTCCCCACCTACAACCCATGAGGCGAACTTTTGAGAAGGGCGGAATCATCAAGTGGCTAGAGTTCAGTGGGAGGTCATTTTTGCAGCGTTCCTTTTCAACAAGATTGGGTTGCGCCCGCACCTGTGCAGTGCACAAAAAAGCAAACAGGCTGTCACCAGGTGCAAACCACCTGCTCTTTTGGCGGTTTTGTGGAACGTCTAGGTTAGTGCTGCTGGGCTCCGGATGCCAAGTGCAAATGCTGCCGTGACACTTTGCTGGGCCCATCCAATTTTGAGGCACAATGGTCTCCGGAATTAGAGCAGGCTCCCTCCCAAAGTTCCAGTCGTTTCTTTAGGTCCAATCTCCTTGCCAGAAGCCGCCCTGTCATGCTAAATTTCTAGTGTTTCTTTTTTTAAAAACTAATTTCAAGTCACTTTTTGCGTTTGTTGTAGACCCTTCAGAGAATCAATAGCTCAACCCCGAAGGAGTGGGGGGTTTCCAACGGCAGAGGATTTGTGCTAGGAATTCTGAGAAAGATACAACCCTATTTTCAATTCCACCACAGGGAAGGCCAGTAGATTGTCAAAGCCACCCCCAGCTCTCAGGTGCTCATCGGTGTTCTTTGCCAATATGATCCATGTGTTGAGTCACTTGGACGGACAAGTGTGACGGAGCGCAATAGACCTGCCTTCCTAAGGCTCGTGGTTTATCTGGCTGTGGGTAGATTTGCTAGATGTCTTCAGAGTCTTCAACGTGGGAAAAAAGCAGGTGGGTTAGGGAACTGCAAGTTTTTGGGTTGACCCGCAAGCCAGTGAAGACCAGCATGGAGTCTTCAGACCCGGTCTGCTTCCGTCCCACGAACCGAGTCCTTGGGACGGAGTCCATGCGAAAGACGCAACATTTGTACGGAACTGTACGTGGTCAGCATGGGTTCCCCAGAACTTCCAATCACTCATGTGACTCCACCTGATCGTCGAAAACCTCCATAGAGGTCCAATGAGTCAAACTGGGACTCTGCGGTGAAGGAGTGAGGGAGCGAAACCAGGTGAAACACCAACAGTAGCTGTTCCCAGGGAAGATGTGTTCCCTGTGAAGCACTTGGAGCTGCCAACATCTGCCAACCGTCACGGCCACAAAGCGGTTTGATATCGAACTCCTACGTATCTCTCGCCGAATTGTTGTTCCCTCCGGCCCCAAAGGTCTGTTGAGTCTGGCTTATGCTGCGCTCTGGCTGCAGGGACCTGGGTGGGGCTTTGCTATGACGTGTTGCAGCAGAGAGGGGAGTCGTCGAGCTCCATTCATGAGGGTGATTCTTGGTGTATTGAGGGTCTCGATACTGTGACTTGTCATGTCCAAAACTCCTGTTTGCTTCCTCTAGCTGCTTCTTCAACGATCTCCATGATGTAAAAGTTCATGGAGTCTAGGAGCTGAAAAAGAGTCGTATCGGTTTGCAGCTTGTTCTTATCCACTTGCATATTTTGAAGTATAGTTCAACCCCTCTTTGGCACTCGGAGTTGCCTTCTTGAGGCTTTTTTCCATCCACCCAAAGATGTGAAGGACCACTGATCCCTCGCTGTTCGTCGTCATTCTTCCAGAAAAATCTGGGTACCGGCTATTGCCCCCGCTAATGTCGTTCTTTCATCAGACCTCCAAAGAAAAGATGAATTTGTTGACCAAAGAGCGGGTGATGCAAAGAAGTTCGCACCACGTGAGAGTCACACTGGGGTATTTCTTGAAGTTTAACAACTCGCAACTTGATTTCTGGGAAACCAACAGACACAGGTCCTTCTTCGGGGATTCGATGCAGGTTCGAGAAACCCAAAAGACAGGACTTCTTTGTTTTTTTTCGAGAAACCCAAAAGACGGTGCATATTGGTCCCAACGAATCGTTTTGAAACTGCTTGGGGTCTATGCTGATATATTATAACTTGGTTCTATTCTGATGAAAAGAACACACATGCACCCTCCCAACATCTCCCAACCCCTAGTGCTCGACATGACGATCAAACTGGATGGCCCAAAATAGAAACGGGGGCACTGGACACACACTGGGGAACAGTCCGTGACAATGACCTGTTAAACTCAGAGGCCGTGCCCAGTTTTTAGCCAGCTGAGTGGTCCTTGAGTCTGCATGAGATACACCCTACAGGTCAGTTGGACCTCCTTTGACTGGAGTTGATCATAGAAAAACGCAACAAATTGACAAAACCTGAGGTTTTTCAGGAGGCTTTGCGGGCGGTACTGGATCTGTAGGAACAGTCTCAGTAGAGGGTCGACCTCTCGTTGTAAGCCCACCTGTGCAGCTTGTCGGCTTCGTTGGCGACCGAGGCTGCAGCAGTGCGGGAGGACATCGGGCTGCTCCGTGAGCACTCGAGTTTGATGGAGGTCGAGGCCGAAGCCGACGAGGAGCTCGGTCGAAGCCGTTCGGGTTGAGGCCGGCATGGAGGTGGGGGGTTTTGGGGCGAAGCGTGGGGCATAGAATGTGGCGGAAAGGTGGTCCCTTGAAGATGGGAAGCAAGTGATCACAGATGTTTGCAGGAGATGGAGATGAAGATGGTGCCTGCCAAGATCAGCAAGGCCATGGTGAGGAAGGGACAGGAAGGGCTTTGGTTCCTCTGATCCTGGACTCTTAGCTCAACTTCCACTTGTTTTGGAAAAGCCGGAGTCTAGCTCCATTGCCCATCGCGGTTGGCAAGATTGGCCCACCACAAACCCGACATCAAAAGTTAAAAACATTTGCAAAAGAGCCCCTTTGCCATCCCTCCAGCCAACCAATCTCCTCCACATAGGTCAAAATCTCAGATCTCCAGTCTTCTCGGTCATGCTTTGGACCTTGTTCAGCTGAACCATTTTAGTCCTTCTCGTCATTCTCCGTCTTCCCTTCGAGCGGAGCAATCGCCTCCGCACCGCCTCAGGCGATCCGCCGGTCGATGCGGCTCACCGCCGAGGCGTCCAAGGTGGCGGAAGAGCGGCTCGGTGGGCGTAGAGCGTCCGGCGCGGTGTGGGGCGCGGGTGGGGGGGGTTAGTGTGGTGGGTTTGGGGAGTTGAGCTTCTTTGGAAGCTCTAGAAGGTCCACCATCCGAAAGCTCATGGTGGGAAGCTGTGAGAAGCCGAAGTCGCTTCATGCTGAAGGAATGAATGCTGGATCTGTGTTTGGCGCGGTTTTGGACATGTATCAAGGATGACTCATACGTTGGATCGAACGACATGGTCCTCTTTGGATCTTTCCCTATACCTCCCTATACCATACCATTCATTTCTTTGTGTCAGCATTTGGTGTTGCCAAACCCTCAGCTACTTGTAGTCTGTTGGTCAATCTGCTGCGTGGTCAGGCTGACTCCTTCGCGTTGTCGTCTACCGGTCTCCTAGACCGGTCTCCTTCGGTTTTCGAGGAAGAAGGAGAAGGCCGCCGAGGTCGCCGAGCACGCGGCCAAGAAAGCCTCCGAGGCCCTGCTGTCTCGCGGTGGGACGGGCGGGACACGACGAGTGCTCGATACGTTGGGCGAGACGAGCGCGCCTCTGTCGTCCTAGACCGGACGGGAGCCATGAAGTGGTGGCCATTGGTGCCAGACAAGTGCAAGGATGAGAGGGATATTTGGGGTCTTTTGGGCCGTTTGTGAGGCGGACGTGTTTCAAGCGAATCACCACCCGTGTTTACTGCGTTGGTTTTTCGCTAGGCGGATGCAGAGCTAGAGAAGGCCAACCGAATGAAAGATGAGTTGGAAATCGGAGCGACCAAGCAACTTGGCGAGCGATCCTTGGAGTCTCCGCCGGTGTGTTTGCCGGTCTTGGTTGGGCATGACTCGGCCGGAGATCTCCGGGCGACACAGATGAAGACCAGATTTCGGTCTCATCTGTCGATCTTGTGTCAGACACTGTGGATGTGTCGATCTTGGGTGGAGCATTTGGAGATTCGTTGATTGAGATTCGTTTTGAGTGTTTCTCCCAAGCAGCCCCATTCACCGGCCGGTTTCAAACCATTTCACACTCCCGGCCGCTTCTCTTCCACCATTTCCTCGGCCGGTTTCATCCCCATTCACCGCCACGCGGCTCTTCGTGAGGTTGGAACAGGTCAAGCAGGAGGCACAGGCGAAGTTGGAGTCCGGCAAAGAGGTGCGGCTTGCACGTGCTCTGCCGTGCGGCTGGTGCGGTGCACGTTTGGATGTTGGCTTGGGTCGGTCAGGGTCGCCAGCCTTGGAGTTTTGACCTTGTAGGCCACTGATTTAATGGCCCGCCTTTACCAAACCAAACAACCCTTGCTTTTACTCAGGATTTTACATTACAAGACTTTCTTAAAATGGCCTTGGAAGGCCAGCGACAAATATCGGGAATCGTCCGTCCTTTTCGATGCGCCGCCCCCCCGCGTGCGGCCCGGAGGCGCAAGCAGCCTGGAAGAAAGAGCCTTTGGCGCAGCAGTGTATGGTGTTGTGTATTTGCTTGCAATGCTGGAGATGTGTCTCCAGACCAGGCTACTCATTGGAACCACACCCTCCTGGTGCATTTGTTGCCCAGGAGAAGGATGCCTTGAAGACCCTGGAAACGGAGTATACCGCAGAGGACATGGTTTCATGGGATCGTGTGACGTGACAAGTTCTCTTGACGGAGCCCATTGGGTGCTGACATTGGATCCACTACGCTGCTGGTGGTCAGTGAACATGAGTCTCAGAAAACCCTCAGAAAAACCCCTTGTCCCGAACATGAAACTTGGAAAGCCAACCAAGCACATAGATGCATGGATGTTGTCTTTCCAAGTTCCCATGGATGTTGGTCTTTCTCACCTGGTCCAACCCACCCGACGTTTGGTTGGGCGACAGCACTTTTCTGGGTGACCTGGGTGCAGAATCGACTCCGGCCACAAGCTGTGTACAGAAAAAAGGATGATTTTCTTTTGGCGTGTTGGACACGACACGTGGGCAGGGGGATGGCAAAGCTGCAACTTTGCAACCTCTACAACTGAATTCCCTTTGGCTGATGCACATCAACTTGCACCGACTGCTGACCGAATGTAAGGCCCCCGAAAAGGCATGGCAACAAACATCGCTCAGTGGACGGTGTGGGACGAGGGCAAAGCCGGTGAAGCGATTTTTCGCCGGTGGCCAGAACCAGAAATATGACAAGCTCTGCAAAGAGATCGAAGAAGAGATGCTCAGCTGGTAACGGTTTAGACATAGCCACTCCCCTCAGCACACGCGGCAATTTCTTTGTTTGGTAACTTGGGTAGTTGTTAGCCACTTTGTAGGGTTTTCTACAACGCGGCCCGACGATTTGGTCACGATAAAGATGATCCTCATAGGCTTGTTGGGTATGCTCAATGTCGCAGGCTGAGTTGTTCTTGGAAAAATGCTTCGTACCAAGGGTATGTATAAGCATCACAATCGCTTATTGGGTGATGTTCACCCAGCCTGTGTTGGGATGCTTACTGTATGACAATGCTTGTGTTTTGATGCTCCCAATCCAGATTCTATGATTGGTGTAATTCATTCTCCTGGAAGCAGAACTTCAGGATGAAAGGCCGCAGGGTTTCTGATGTTGTCCACTATTCTCCACCAGGGTTTTGGTGAACTTGAAGAAAATGGGACTGTGGGACCATAGGATTGCGGGTGTTTTGGTGTGTGGAACCTGAATCATCATGGAAGTAGACGGCATCACCTGATCTGGGTGATGGAGGATTTGTGCCTACTGTGTACCGTAAGTGGCATGTTTCTTTGCCCCAGGGAGCCACCGCCTACCAGCAGCTCAACCCCCAGCCTACAATGAGCTCTGATATGTTGACCTGAGGATCAAACAGAGGCTGCTGGGAAAACAGAAGGCCTGGACATGTGAAGAGTCTTGAAGAGTTTTGAAGAGACCGCTTTTTTTATTCTGGAAATTCCTCGACTCATGTGGTCGAAGGATGAGTCTTGTGCTTGGGCTCTGCATCTGGTCTGGAGTTTTTCAGCCGTCGCTTGAGGTCCCCGGTAAATGTCCTTGAGGTCCAAGACGAAATAGAGGAGAAGCACGCACCTTCTGCCCTGTTCTTGAAGATGGCAGGGGTTTCTGTTTGAAGATCACCCTAACCCTCGCTTTACCACCCTTTCAAGGGAAGAGCACTAAAACGAACAATTTGTTCTGAATATATATGAATATACCTAAATTATTTACTGTAAATATACTACTTTCCAAAGCTCTACCAAGCCAAGCCAGACTCAAACCAGTCCCTGTCCGTTGCTCAAACAACCTCTGAAATCACACTGCCCCCCATTCATTCACAACGAATGTCCGCGAGGCCAAGTTGGCGTTGGCAGAGATGAACAAAAAGAAGAAGACCCAGACTGAGAAGGTCGAGAAGCACCTTGGTCGGTCGAACGGGTGGCGACCGAGAGAAAGGCAGGTTTCGACCAGTCGGGGAAGGGTGCAGTCGTTCCGTTATGCTGCTTCTGAATCAGACAAGTCTGGAGGTTGCAGAGGTTCACGACTTGCAGAGGCTTAGCACTCCCTGGAATTTCTCATGAAAGTCGAACATGGCCCCCCTTGGATGACAATGAAATCCGAATCCCAAACAGGTGGTGCCATCCACCAAACCATGATGATTCCAGGCACCAAACCATGCAAGGTTGACACCCCTTTCGGTTCACTCTCAGTGGTCAACCAGGGTGGCTGGGTGCTGTGACCCACAGCCATTTCTGTCATGTCTGACCTAGACCGAGAGGTGAAACACCAGAGAATGGGAGTGTTTCACTGAATCTTTCACGCGATCAAGAAGACCCAGATGGCCTAGGTGGCCAGAGCGCCATCACTGTTTCCAATCATTGTAGCTCTATAGCAACCAGATTTCTTCCCTATGTTAACTCCAGAGAGAGAGAGAGAGAGAGAGAGTGAGAGTGTGTGCGGCTGGGAGTGTTCTCTTGTGTGGGAGGAGTTTTGCCTAGTGAGTTTAGTGTTGGCGTGTGCTTTTTCTGCAATCCTCTCTGTTGAAACACGGGCAATTCTTGGGGTGAGAAATTCGCAAGTTCACCGGGCATATCATATGATATCATGAATTCAGATTGAATGCAATGACGGCCTCTCATTGGATTCATGAAATTCTCATTGAATTCTCAAACCCCGTGGCTTTCTGGTTGCCAACAATGATTCCCAGGCTGGCGGCGGAGACCGCCGCGGCGGGCGGCATCGCGCGTGAAGCGCAGGAGGTGAGGAGTTTCTCCGAGGGCCCTGGAGTTGAGGAGGAATCCGGTTTTCAGAAAATCGAAACTTGGGATTTCAAACGTTTCAAACCCTTGACATCTGAGTATATATTTAACTTATTATGTTTAACATTTCTATCTGGGTTTTCAGAACCTTGAAACTTGTACTGTCCAGTCTTATGTTTATCACTATGTCAATTCGTGTTCTTGAACAATCTGGTTTACGGGCCGAAACATCTTGTCATGGTGGACGAGAACCTCTTTGGGAGCCGGGTACTTTGACGTGAACTCTGTTTTTTTGTGATATTGGTTTCACCCTTCGACATTCAGAGAATCAGCGGATCACCACCCACCATGCTGGGGTATCACAGTTTCAATGTTCCCCCCCCCAGGAGCAACCACAGGGACACAAGAGAGGGGCCATTGGCGAAGTCTCTTCCTTGCGGGGGGGAGGTGTCAGTGGGCCAGTCGTCTTTAAACATGGACGAGCTTCGGTGTCCTCGGACTGTTCTCAGTGCCTGATGATGAAAACCTTTGTATAGATCTTTCCAAACCTTTTTTAAATTGCCCCCCAGCATTCTTTTGAGAAAGGGGCTTTGGAAACACCGGAAATCGCGGACAACCACCGTGCTCAGGCGGCGGAGAAGGCCGATGCGCAGTTCCAGGAGGCGACGAAGAAATGCGACGCTCAAAGCTGCTTGGCATCTTGAGGACCGCGGAGGGCCTCGTGCATCTCCGCGGAGCGCGTTCCAAAAGGCCTTCTGGCCCATTGGGTGGCCAGATATTTTGGGGCAAAGCCGGAGTTCAGAAGACGTCCATGTGACATCGTTCTGAGTCACACAACACAAAGCAGAAAGCCACAGCCCTACCGTAGTTTAGTTGCGAAATGGTGGAATTGACCCAATTGGTGGAATTCCTTCCACCAAGATCTCCGCTGGGAGCGGAAGTCGTGCGCCAAGTAACACATCGGCAAAGCAAAGAAGTCATACGTTGGCCGAAGCCAGAAGACTTTGTTTTCATGAATGGGTGCACTCTCCACCCAAACAGTATAGACATTGTGCAGACAGAGGGAACCGGATTTCGGTCGCATCCCAAGCTTCCATCATCCTTCACCCTCCCTCCAAAAAGGCTGTGGTCACAAGACGCTCTTGGACCCCGAAACAGAACACGGTGAGGTGAAGTAAGTTTTTAGTGAACGCCCTGGCTCCACCGGTGAGCCCCCGGTGAGCCCCCCCGGTCACCGGTCCCACGGCCTCGCCGGTGCACACTGAGAAGCGCAAGCGGAGAAGGCCGCCTCGGTGGCGGCGACCGCCCGGGTGGCGGAGACCTTGGCCAAGGAGGAGGTCACCGAAGCGGACGAGGCGAGCGGGTTGCGGGGTGGCGGGAGGAAATGGACGAAGCTGCGGGAGGAGGAGTGGGGGGAGGAGTAGCTGAGTGAGCGGGAAGGAGCAGAAAGGGTGTGGTTTTGAGGTAGGGAAGGGAAGTGTTTTGGAGGATGCAAGCTCGACTTGTCAGTGGACTGGAACAGGTACAATAGCCAGTCATATACGCTTTCTAGACATGCCTCGATTTATACTGTAATGCTTTTGTTTCGAAAGGTGTGGAACAAAGGTATGACAGCCCCAAGAACATTTGTTGATATGAACTGATATGTATACATTATAGATTCTATATAATATATCATTGCATATTTTCAGTGCAGTTGACTACGTGAAACCCTGAACCAGGACAATCCCAAGGATTGTGTGGCAGTGGCTCACCTGTACACTAGTGCACCTGCACTGTCACCAGCGTGGTCTTGTTTTGGTCAAAACCCTCAGGAAGTGATGGCCAAGAAAGTCATGAAGCAGCAGATCGTGGAGCCCGGACACCTGGCTCCGCCGGACACCAACGGGCCCGACGCAAGTTGCATGTAGCCCACGACTCGAGGAAAAGGAGAAAAGCTCTGCTCAAGTCCAACAGCTTCAAAAAATGACTTGACTAGAAAGCTTTAGTCATTCGAAGTTCGAGTCACCTGGACTTGAAATGCATGAATCTGCCCAAAGAACTTTCTCAGGCCCCCTGTGTGGAGCTGTAAAACCATTCTGGTACTTTTTAAGTCTTAACCAACAGTCGATATACAGTACGCTGCAGATCAACTGCGAAAGAAACCAACATGCACCAAGAAAAGGGATCAGCAACTGCAGGGTTGATCAGTTGACTCACTTGATACATACAAGGAAACCGTACCTGGATGTCCTGTCCTAGTCACCTCCGGTCCTAGATAGGAGAGTGATAGCACAGAAAAATCCTCCGGCCTGATCCCTTTCCTTGAGAAAAGACCTTGTCCCAACCACCAAAAAAGAACAAAAGGACATTCAAAAACCATCGCCATCCTTCACTGCACTGCGGCACTGCACTGCAGTTCCACTCTGAGGCTGCGGAACAGCGTCCAAGAGTACTACGAGTTCACCGACGCCATGACCCGTTCCATGGAGGTCGGCTGGTTTCGTAAGGGACGGTCTCGCACCGGGGGCGAGAAGAATAGGGCGGTGGTTGGGAAGTTGGGGCAGACAGTCTCAGAAAAAGAGAGCAGGAAGCAAACATTTTTGTTTGGAGCCAAAGAGAAGTAAAACAGCTGGGCGTCCTGGGTTGAGCATCCTCGCGAAGTCATCTCTGAGAATCTTGAGTGAAGTCCCTGGGCGTCCCTAAGTAGTTCCGCCACCTCTCCCTGCCGCTCAAGTGGACTGCCGCCGCTTGGGGAAGAAGCCACCGCTTGGATCTCCTGGGTCTCGGTCGCCGTCGGCTTCGATCTGTCAGGAAGCACTGGCGAAGCTCGAGGAGAAGAGTGAGGAGGAGAAGGTCGAACCGTGGGAGCTCATGCGCAAGGCTCGAATCGCCGCGTTACCCACGGAAGGGAGTGCCCCCCACGCTGGACGTGACGTGGGACGTGGAGTGGCCCGCGGAAAAGCCGGAGTGGACCGCTTGGACCAAAGTCATGGGTGGGTTTCTTCAGAGCGAGAAAAACAGTACCGCTACACGATTGCCGTTCTTGGTTGTTTCCTGTGGTTGAAATGATGCGTGATTTGCTTCTTCCCCAAACTCGGGAGCTCCCCCCCGGTGGATCTCCCCGAGTGGATCGCTACGGTTTTCGCGACGGTGGATCGCTACGGATCACAGGATGTTCACGTGAAGAGCAGCATGGTCAAGTACAATGTCATGGTGGGCCAGTTCCGCAGGCGGAGCAACAGATGGTTAAGACCGGGCAATTCCTTGATGTTGCTTTGTCTTGGTCCACTTCATTGGAGTTGGGATATCTGTGGATTAACCAATCCACCCAAAAAGGAACCGTATTGATTTCTATGGATTGTATTGATTGCTTCATTTTGTTGGGGCGGCCTAGACTATCGTTTCACCGGTTTCACCCAATGCTTCGTATGGTTGACACAGTCGTTTCAACTACACCGCTCATGATGTGTTTGAATACACTGGGACACACTAACATGGAAGTGGAAAATGGTCTTGGAAGATCTTGGAAGACCACTGTAGAAAGATCTTGCTTCCACTTCCATGCGAGGGAGTCCCACTGTATCTCTGATGGGCTGAAGACATTGTTTTGACACTCCTCGGCTGCAGTAGCTATGCCACTTGATTGACTGGCTGAGGCTGCAGGTGATTCCAGCCAAGTACACATGTTCACAGCATTGGAACCTTCGTTCTCAATCAGAGCTCATGCAATGAAGTGGTAATAGACCTTCAAACTTTGAACAGCGTGCCAGTTTGTCAAGAAGACATGTTTGAGTTGAAGCAAGTTGGGTTCATTTCATGAAGTGCGCAAGAAGCAAGTTGGGTTCCAGCTTTGATTCGATTCTCTTCAATTGAGCATCGACGTTGGAGCATGTCCGGTCAAACGGTGCGGGGGAAAGGCTCGCCATCACCTGTCAGTGTGAGGCCATCGTTGAACACAACGATGCTGAGGAATGCCTATTCCTCTAATCCTGGTTGACAGGATCTGCTCATTTTCTCCCAAATCCTTGCAGGGGTCCTGCGGTCTCGAGCTTGCCACTTCCTCCGGATGTGTGCAGACGTGGCCCATCCGCTCCTGGGGGGCCATGCAATGGCAACTCGTGGCCGAGTCCACTTGGGCCAGGCTCTTCTTCGAAAACTTCGACATCTACAGCATGGTGGTGTCCAGTACCAAGGAGATCCACGTGTCTTGGCCCACCGCGGGCGCCCGAACACCGGTGAAACGAAGGATGCGGTATTGGGAAGCAAGACTTGCTTGTTCCCTTCCACCGGAAACGCGACACACAAAGAAGGGCGCGCGCGTCCTACCAGTGCCCAGACCATCCATGATCCATGGAACTAGAAGATATACCGATCAAGTGACCCCCTCAAATCACCAGCACTCCCCTTCCGTCTGGCTCGGTCTGGCCGAGCCGTATGTCCCATTCGTCTGGTCGAGGGGTGAAGGCCCTGGACCCCGAATTTCCGTTGACCCGGGCGCTTCCGGTGTCTACTGGAGACCCTTTTCAGTGTGTGGGTCCAGGCCAAAGGACCAAGAACCGAAGCAGAAGGTGCTGTCCTAGTTCTAGTTATTATCAGTGGACCACCTGAAGAGATCATCGGGGTCAATACAACATCTCCTGTGGCCAGAGAAACCTTTCGTACTTTGGGGTGCTTCGCGTGTACGTACTGGCACTTTGTTTTCGACCGTTCGGAAATAAAGGAGAAGTGGTTTTTGGACCTCAGGGAGTTGAGTTCCCGAACCTGAGACGATTCCAACGCCCGCACAGAGCTTTCAGAGTAGATAGGACATGTGACATGATAGGACCTTTCCGTGTCTTTTTAAAGATTGGGGCTCCATCGACTTGGCACCCTGTCGGGGATTGGTGCCATCGACTCTCCCTCCACGTGCACGTCATTTTGAACGTCCCAGCCCTTCGAGCGTGAGCGTAAGCGAGCGCATGAGGACAATGCCCAAGCGGCCTGGCTCTTGCAGTGTGATCCCAATGAGGCTGTCCCTGTCCAGAGTTTCTCTTGTCACTATGTTTTTCCTTCCGCGAAAGTGAAGGAAGTATAGGAACAAGAAGCTACTAGTAGCTAGTAACAAGGGCATCGCTACTAGTAACAAAAGGCATTACCAGTTACTAGTAGCAAATAGCTACTTCTGTTTCTCCTTCCAATCAGAGTGTTGTTTTTGTGTTTCTTTCCAATTGGGCGTTTCAGTGTAGGGAATCTGTTGTGGAATGTTGGCTTGGGTTTCCATTTTCAGCAGAAAAAGCCAGCCTTCCGCTATGATCTATGAACTCTACTGCATGGTTCGTAAGTCACGAGTGCTTGCTCGTCTGTCCATGGCGTGAAATTCGGATTCGACCCACGGCTTCACTCGACTCCTTGGGCCCTGAGATTCGCCTTCAAAAAAGCTGCGATTTGAAATGGAACATGTCACCCACTCAGTTGGGCCGCGAGATTCCATACCAATGAGAAAGCACAGGATGACCATGATGGATCCCTTTTCAATTCGATTTGTAAAACCCTGCTATTTTGCACCCTCCGCTCGGAAGCCCACGCCGAGTCTTTTGTCGCAGGTGCTGGAGATCGAGGCTCGAAAGACTGGAAGCTTGGTGACTTGGAGATCAAGCCGAAGGGATCCGAAGGGGGTTTGGGTGAGGATTTTGGGTTTGTTGATGGAGGATGGCCCTTGATTAATCACCCATCAACATCTATCAAACATCTTTTTACATGGCATCGAATGGAAGAGTAGATTGACCACATGGATGGGTCATACAAGGAGGTCAATTGTAACTAGTCCAGTCCCATGGATGGTCTGGAGGGTTTTCTGGTGTGCTTCAACGGATCTGGAACGCTCGCTCCGCGGGTCCGAACGGACCAAGACAACGGTCCTGACATGGACGGTCCTTGACCCAACGGCCCCGCTTTGTGCGAGCCAACAGCTGCCCTCCAAGCGAGAAGGAACACATTTGGGGAAACCGACTTCCCACTTTGATGAATGTCTTTGGACGTTTTTGGAACATAGCTTTAACATGCTTAAAACCTTTTTGGAACATGTCTTCTTCAATCTTCTCCCAAGTTCCAAGATTGACTACTCTGACTGCCCCCCAACTATGCAGTGAATGAGGCACCACACATGAATATGTGCAGGTCTTTCCCTTCGTTCAGGATCCCCCAGAAATGATTCATCTGTGATGACTTGAAGAGGACACCCCATCCGAACACACCAAGCGGCAAGCCGGCGATGCGAGAAATTCGATGCTTCAAACGAACTCCTCCAGTCACACGTTTTGGACCCCGTGCTTCGACGAAGACCGTCTCCGCCATGGGAGGCCAAGCTGGATGAACACTGCGGCCGCCACTGGGCTGGATGATACAGGGTGGGGAGACTGGCTGCTCCGTTTTTTGGGGTGACAGCGCGCCTCTGTGTGCATATGGTGCAGGTGCGCGAGATGTGAAACACATGAACAAAGGTGGCTGAGAGAACTCGTTGTGGACCTCTTGAGGGATGCGAATCTGAAAATTGGTGGAAGAAAGACACCACCTGTGCACCACAGGTTGTGTAATGTAGACTGTTGATGAACAAAATCCTGTCTCCAGAATGGTTTTTGTATCTCCAAAAACTGGGTGGTTCTATTTTTCAATAGTCTACATTAAGGATCTGTTGGGGACATTTCTCCGATCATGAACAGACTCCGTACGTGGATGCCACGGACGGGGATGCTCATCACTGTGGGTAGGGACCCAAGGCGCGTCAGTAGCAGAAATGAGTCCTTGGGGCCCGGGGGCACTAGGAAACCTATCAAAACAGGTGTCATGCAAGTTGGAACCACGTACACGAATACCAACCGCCTCAATCTGCTGTCTTTCTTTTTGCATCTTGTCACCTGTTTCCACTAGGAACACCACCATTTTACCTGGCAGAGGTGAGTAGGCCAGTGGCGATATCGTCGACGCCCAGGTCGGCTGAATTCTTGGATTGTCAGCAAAGTCGGCTGAGAAGTATACCCCCATTTTCGACCAGGGCTACCATCCGAAAAAAGAAAAACCCGACACCTTCGCAAGGGTTGGACCTTCCAAAACCCTGGTAAGTAAGCAGAAGATTGGTTCAAGTCTGCTGGTTGTATACCAGGGCCCCCTGAAAGTTGGGTGTCTGATAGCCAATGTTTTATTTCAGTGATTCGGGGTGTCCATGGTGTCCAAACATATTTCAAGTCCCATGGGTTTCGTTCCAAAACGCTCCCAGGTGGCCTATGGAAGCACTTCGAGGTCGAAAGGCCGACTGAGCTGTAGGTCAAGGAAGGAGATGGAAGGAATGATCAATGATGCCCCAATGTAGTGTAAACGGTGTAGGGGTGGGAATGGTAGGTGTAAGAACATGCAGACTTTCAGGGTGGCAGCATGGAATCCATATCCCAAAGCTCAAAGGCTATATTTTGACCGACTGAAGTAAAGGAAGGAGCCCCCTTTTCAGACCCTTCTTGTTCTGTTCGTTTGGAGACCGGTGGGTTCGACCTCGGTGTTCGTTGGAGACGCTGTCCTTCCAGCTCAGCTGGTGCAAACAACACTGAAGACATCCACGCAGACCACCCGGTTTATCAGCCGCCAAGGCCATCCCCAGCGGGATCCCCGTGGCCACTGAGACAAAGGTTCGATTGTGTGCCAGCTCAGTTCTGCGCAGGCAGAACTTCCCCAGCAAGGAGGAGGTGGGCGGTGCGGAGAAGGCTGCCCAGGAAATGGCTGCACAGACAGCAGCCTCCAACACCCCGGAGACGAGTTCCGAGGCGCGGTACTTCCTTCGACGAGCTTCTCCGAGCGCCGTACACGCGGTAGAATGCAATGGCAAAGTTCTTTCGTGTTCTCGGTGGTCTAGGAAAAAAGAACACCACCCGGCAGGATTTGGATAGCTAAGATGACGTTGGGCAATATTGGACCCCGCTCTTTCCGTGTGCCCTGCACGGACCCAGGTGGAACCAAGGGAGGTGTGAGTAAGTCATGATCATTCCCTACAGGCCAGGAACTGACCTTGAAGAAACAAAAGCACCTGGGTCCATCAGACTGGACCTGTAGGAATTCATGGACCAGCGCACTGACCAGCGCAAGATGTACTTAATATAGGATAGTACTAAGACCACCAGCATCCAGAAACAACAGGTGTTTCCTGGTGACAAGTCCCCAGATGTTAGGGACCCGAAAACAGCTTGTTGGAGGGTCCTGGTAGAGGTTTCTACGGTTTTCAAGTGGTTTTACGGACTCCTCCTGAGAGATTTCTGGTCTTTACGGGCCCATCTCACAGCCCCGAGCAAGAGAGCGTTTTGGTCGGTGTTAGTTCCCTTCTTCGGCTTCGAAGGCTACTTAGTAGTCAGGACCTGTAAGTAATTAGTGGACTGAAATCAGCAGCACCTCAGCCTCTTCCACCATAAAAAGCCAGGATGAAAAAAGAATAAAGACACAAATAACTCCTGCGGGGAACACTCCGTCAACACCACCTTTATTCTTTTGTCAATCCTCGAATCGCCCTACCGTTCTACCTCCGGCCCGTTCCGACCCCCCAACGCACCGACAGCGCCAGGAGTCGACGGTGCCCAAGACGGAGCCCGAGACGGAGCCCAACCCCGAGACTCAGCCGACGGAGCCCAACCCGCAGACGGAGCCCAACCCCGAGACGGAGCTCACCGGGAACGAGAACTCGACGCTCAGATCTCGGAGAGTTTCCCAGTGCGAGCGAGCAGTGCGAGTGAGACGGGCAGTTTGAAGGTGGAGATCCGTTGAAGATGGAAGTTGAAGAAACGTTGGAAGAATGAACTGTTACTCTTGGTAGAGGAATGTCTAGGGGCTAGCCGGGCTTCCACTTCCGATGGAAAGGAGAGGGTTCTGTTGAAGACTTCTTTGAAGTGCAAGATCCTGCAAGATAACCTGCAAAACAATCTGAAAAAGGAATGGATCCAGTTGGAGTTGGATGTGTAGAAATCCCTTGGTTCTGGCACAGCTGAGGAACACTGAGCAAACCGAGACAGAGTCCAACGAGGATTCTGAGCCCAAAGAGACTGGCACCAACGAGGATTCCGAGCCCAAAGAGACTCCCACCAACGAGGAGACTGCCACCAATGAGAACGCTGAGCCCACGGACATGAATGAGGGTCAGGGGACTTGTTGGAGAGCTGGGGCAGAACGAACGTAGGGACTTGGAGCTTTGTGAATTGCGCCAACTGGGCATGACGGATGTGGTTGAATACTCCTATTGAACAGATTATTGGCCATCTCTAATGACTAGTCCCTTGGTACAAAGGAGACCGTAAGAGAACTTTTCTAGGATCCTTTTAGGATTTGAAAGACTGCTATATCTCAGGGCGTTTTGTGATACCCATTCGCACCTCGTGACTTCACGCCAGACGACATCTCCAACGCGGAGCCCGCAGATGAGACCTCGAACGATCCGGCGCTGATTCAGGCCGCGCGGACGCGACAAGTCCGGTCCGCGTCTCGTCGCGGAGGCGTGGTTGGTGGCACCTTGGGTGTCTCGAGATTCCAATGATTCCTGCGGTTGGGGGTTCGTGTCTCTTTTTGGGTGGAAGACGATTTGTCCCACCCTGCCGGGCCCTGCCAAGAAGCATTACGATCTCTGGTATCCAGCATGAGCTGACCCAAGCCTTGTCCTGTTGCAACGGTTTGGTCCAAGCCGTGTCCTGTTTCAGGTGCGAGATCTGGATTTGGCCGCTGGCCTCAACCGCGGCCGTGTGCGCGTGCGCATGCGGTGTCTTGCGTTTTAGGCGTTTTGGGCGTTTGGGTCGTGGAACCCCAAGAAGAACGGCGCAAAAGAGACGTCCGCGAAGTAGACGTCCGTGTGACTTGAATGGATGACGTATTGAGCACGTGCCAACATTTTCCCATTTGCTTTACAGATGAGGCCTCTGCACACTTGCAACTTTGAGACAACTCTTTCTTATCCACCGATTGAAAGCTGGAGACAGTCAATATTAAGAGGTATCCAGGTATCCAGTACTGTATCCAAGTATTCAGCTCGGACAACTGACCAAGCATCGGTTCATTGCGCCGGATTCACTACCGAGCAGGGACATGTTTAAGTCATGGCCCTCCCCAACTGATATGGCCCTCCCCACCTAGGACAGGAAGAGGTTTATTCCCCACCTAGGCGTGTTGGGCCCCACTGGTGTTTCTTTCCTTCCACCGTCTCGCATCGGTGCACCGGTCAGTGTCTGTGCACTCAGTGTTTGACTCGGACGATTCACTGGCCATCCGATGAGGTCACAAATGGGGCCTGGTTAAGGTCACTTGTAGACTCCAGAGAGGCCGGTCCTTGCACCCCAATGAGGAGCGCCAGACCGCACCGCGCCACACCGCACCGCGCCCAGTTGCGGGAGATCCGGAAGCATCGAGCAGCAGAGCGCCGAGCACGCTGAGGCGAGCGCGTGGTGCGTGGCCGAAGGCTACATCGAGTAGAGAGAAATCAGACATGTTTCGACTTGACTTGTCCTATCGATTTGGTGAGTGCGAACGAAAGCTATGTCTTCAGTTTTGTTGCCAAAAGCCATTCATGGGAAGTGTTCGGCGAGGTGAATGCATTCGCGTTGGTGGCAGAGTCTTTTTTTTGTCAATCCAGAAACTGGGCGATATCAACCCTAAGATCAGAGAAAGGGCAGGGCCAAAAACACTCCTTGAAAGAATCATGGACTGTGGAAAGCCATCCAAACTCGGGGCCATGCCATCCACCTAACCATGGCTACTTCCAAGGGAGAGTCGTAAACAACGTCCATGATCTTGCCTGCAGCATGAGCAAGTAACCAGCCTCTTCGATTCCGCGGCGGTGCAGCGTTTTTCTTTTGTTTTGTTTCGTCTATCCATTTTTTTTGGGGGGCAAAGCTGTCGAGGTTAGATAGGCAGATCATCAGGTTGGGATGAGGGTTTCGATTGGGACGCGTACCTACAACAGTATAGCAACTAGTTACCAACATCTACCAACGATAACAGAAAGGCACACCAAGCTGGACATAAAGAAACTTCCTTCGGATGCCGGAGCGCCCTCCGCAACACGTGGGGCGAACTGGGTGCCGCCGTGGTCAGGAGACAGACCGGGCGCTTCACTGGCGCATAAGAAAAGCGCCGTGTGCAGCCGCAAAAAAGAGGGGGGACGCGAGGTGATGGAGCGAAGAGAAGGAGCTAGTAGAAGAGGTGGAGTAGGGTGTGGCTGCAAGTAGCATGGCATTCGGTATGTTCCTTGTGTTTGTTCCTAAATGTTTTGGATGAGAACCCACAATTTTTGCCTCTTGTGCTTTCTGAAGACACAGGCCCGAGACACCCACAGACTCACAGGGATATGATGCTGATTTGGTTGACTTTACGACATAATTCAGTATATTTCAGTGTGGTAGTCTAAATGACCAGCTGCCAGGTGGGAAAGCTGAGTCTTTGGAAGTTCCGCTGGCTCATTGTACCATTTGCATCCTGGGTAGCTCCAGTGCTTCGGTATGTCATCTGATCAATGTGGAGTGCAATGGATTGAGGAGACCTGTCCACCAAACGCTGAAAGAGTTTCCAGTGTTTGCTCGGATCGGCAGGGATCTGCGATCTGCAGCATCTTGCAACAACCTGCAGGCAACCACTTCGGGTGACAACCCGGGCCATTTGGATCCTACGATCCAAAGCACCTTGGATCCTTCCACCCGACCACCCGGTGGCCTTCGGGGACCGACCTCCTCCCGCAGCCACAGCCGGTTTTGAGCGCCGTGAGCCCGGCACCGGGGGCCGCGATGGCGGAGGCCGTCCCGGAGGCCAATGGCGCCGAGAAGAACGATGGCCGCGCGGCGATGGTGTTGCGATGGTGTTGCGGTGGACGGGGAGAGGTGGACGAAGATACATCTTCAGCTGGCGGCCCAAGAAGATCCATGAAGATCCACGCGTTCCGCAGGTGAGACGAATCCTCCGAAATTCTCACCTGGTGAGACGAATGTCCGAGGGTTCTGATGCACCGGAGAACGCGGGTGCATGCGGGTGCTTCCAGAACGGTCGATGATGGTTCATTAAGAAGGGATTGCAACAACCTCACATCGTTTCCCTCCGGACATTGAGGGATGTAGTGCAGGCCAAATTGCAACACCTCACCGGAAGCGTCCTTTTCAAGTTCTATAAGATGATTGGCTTGGGGTGGGTGACCTGTCTGCCCTCCGAAATGCACGGATCGGCTGAGGCAAGGCTGCTGCAGTGGTGGGCGATTTGAGTCTGGAGACCACCGCCGTGCCAGGCCGTTTGGTCAGGGCAAGGGCAAGGGTTGAAGGAGGTTTTTTAGTGGAAGGAAGGAAAATGAGGCGAGGAAGGAAGGTGGTATTTTGAGAAGTCTTGGAAGTAGAGGCATTGAGAAAAAGGATGAAGGCGATGCCCAAAACCACCTTTGGAACTGAGGCGGCTCTCTTTGACAGATTGCCCCGGAAAGGAAAAGGGCACAGATGCAGATTGTGGCCCATCATATCAATGATATCAGCCTGGAAACCCACACCACCAGAAACAAAATGGATGTTTCCCACAGTCCCAAGCACTTGCTATGTAAGCCATCAATTGGGTTCCAAGCCTTTGCATCACCCGCGCGCGTTATGGGAATTCATCACTCCGGCGCGGACCCGTGCCTCGCCACCTGGCGAGGTGAAGCGGATAACTTGCTGGACAAGATCTTGAAGTTGCTTGGCCGCGGACGACGAAGCGACGATTCGCAGACGATTTTTTAGACGATCCCCAAGGACCGTGTGGTGAAAAACATGTTTGACCGCCCCCCCCCTTGCAGAGGATTCTCACACAAACCACCCATGGACCCATGTGGTTTTCAGGGCTCATATCAGTACGAGGGTTTCGTTGGATTCGGAGATTCAACAGCAAAGCTTTGCATGAACAGTGGGCCCTTGCTCGAAGTTGGGCTCTTGTTCGTCGCTGGGTTGACCAGCTGATCCAGAAGGCTGCAATCGAGAACAGTTGAGTAAATGAATGAGAGACTACGGATTGGATGACAAGAGGATCTCAGGGCAGTTTCCTGTCTACACGATCGTCATGATTAACCAGATTGATCCAGATTGGACATTTCCAAGAATCTTTCGCTCAGTCGTTGAATCTATCATAGTTGTTGGTTGAGACATGAGGGAAGGAACCCTAAACTAAACTGTCGAACCATCTACAGTCTGACTCCCGAATCATTTTTTTGCTTTTAGCATCACCAGGTCGGGGACAGGCTCATTCAGGCTCTCCATTTGACCCCGACGCCCAGGAATGCCCTGGCACCAAAGGCAGGGCGCAGGGTCGTCCGTAAAGCGAAGGGACTTTGGCTGTGTTGGAGTTGGCAACCACATAAGCAGCTTAGCCTGCAGATATCAGACTTCTGTAGTAGTAGAAGTGTGATGAAGATTGGACTATATAGTTGGACATGGTTGCCATGTCCACATCCATTTGTCAGGAATGTGTATCGAGCCACAGACTCCAATAGCTTCCTCTACAGCAATGCTTCGAAGGCGTATTATACCAGGAGCATTGGACACCACCGAGTGTAAATGAATCATGGCTTCTTTGGCAATCTCCAGAAGTCTCTAGGTTGCTTCTTTTCAGCATTCAACAAAGTACCCGTTGGTGATCAAGATCGTCGTTGACGTGCCAAACAAGTGAACCGAACTTTCATCCGGCCGTGTACCCTGTACCTTCTCACCTGGCCTTCTCTTCTTTTGCACGTGCAGGTTCTCCCAGATTAGTGGAGATCCACCTCGATCACGGCATCCACCTCTAAGTCTAGATGAAGATCCGTTGCCCGAAGAGGTTCCGAGAAAATTGACCTCCGTAGTCCTGACGCAATCAGAGCTTCCACATTTCGCCCAGCACATGTTGACCCTGTGAGTACAGCGAAAGACTATTTCAACAGCAGTCTGACGACCGGTGACCCGATTTTTCAGGAATTTCACACTTTGGTGGTTTTCAATAGCGTTGGCTGGACTTCTTGATTGGTTTTTAGTCACAGTACTTTTGGCCGAGTGCGTCTCTGCTTTCCCGAGGCCCATTCGTTCGGATCGTCCGAAGCGCGCGCGAGAGTCACAGTACTTTTCTTTTTGGAATGTCTCATGTGTCCGACAGGGTTGAGTGAAAAAGATTGTCAGGTGAAGCCCGAGAACCTCAAGAAGGAGGGCGTCCCTCTCTCGGCCGCGGAGGGCTTCGGAGGGCTTCGGAAAGAGTTCGGTCTTCGGTCCGTGCGTTCGCTCCACTCTCAGCCGTTGGGCGTTGGTCACCTTGCATGATCAGATTCCATGATAGGAATCAAAATGATGAATGCCTGAGTGGAAATGGCATGAACTGGCGCCTGAGCTGTTCCAGGCAATAGGTTTGTACTCCATCTCACAGCCACAACACTCCTTTCATTCATCATCTCACCTCCGCTGCGCAGCCACTTGCTCTCCACTTCGTTGCTATTCAATTAGGTCGCACCTGAAGGCGCTGAGCTACGCTCAGCTGGCTTGAGAGGATCAGAGGACACTCGCAGACCCGAGAAAAGGCCAAAACCGCTTGAGACGGAGATTCGCTCGAGCCCGTGTCTCCGCGACGCGACTGAGGTGAAGTCCGAAGTGAAGTCTGAACTGATCAAGAGTGAGGCGTCGGGTTGTCTGGGATTGATTGAGGGGTTGCTCGGGAATGATTTCGATGCTCAACAGCTCAGCAGTACATGGGTTCTTTGCAGGTCGTTTTGGCGCAGCGAAATCCCATGCAACACCCCTTGGATCGCGCCTGGATCCCCTGCCCGAACGGGCAGGTGAAGACGGAGAAGGGCATCAAGCAAGAGAAGCTGGACGGTGAGCCCTCCTGGTTCGGACCGGTCATCTCGGTGTGGATCTGGAGGAGACGACATGCTGGATCGGCCACGGCCAGTGGTCCGATGACATTGTTCTTCTCAAAATGGAAGAAGGAAAATAGACCGAAACCCATTGGGCCAGGCAGGGCATCTCCCGGATTTAAAGTACACCACCAAGTCTAAAGCTTAAAGAGGTCGCGTGCACGACTACTGCACTCCGACTCTGGAGGGTGAGGTTGCCAACATGAGTACTGAGCTTGGCCAACATGGGGTGTGGATCAACACTTCACTCTTTGCGCAGAGTCGGCACCATGATGTTTTTTCTCAGTCTTACTGCCAGTCGCATGGAAGATTGATCACCTTTTGTCAAGGTCGAGGTCTCCAAGTTTGTTTTGATCAGGGCCGCGAAATCAACCGATGGCTTGTGTCGGCAGATGCTCCGAGTAAGCTCTAGCCAGGTGATGTGTTCGAGCCTAGATGCCCAACCCTCTTACAAGTGCGTGTATTTGGATATGTGAAAGCCACAACCTCTGGTACCCCACAACCATTGAAGGGCGGAAGATGTGCGGAAGATGTGCGGGACCTCTGCCAAAAGTTGTTTCTGGTCACTGAAACCAGGTGAAACCGAGTGAACACCTGGTTCTAGGGCCTCCTTCTGGTGAAACCCGTCATCTCGTCGCCCTCGATGTCTCCTCCACTTTTGCCAGCACCTGCGCTCCCGGATATCGATGGAGCTGGAAGGCGCTGCGCGCATCGCGTCCCGCCTGCTTGGGGTGGAAAAAAGCGATGCGAATGCTGCGAATCCCCCCAAAAAGACATCACTTTCTCCCAAGAGATGCAATCTTCAGTTGGAAGAATCCAACTCTTTGCCATTCGCTGCAGTTTGAGCACACCGTCGAGAGACGTAGTGATCTGGGCACTGCTTCAAGCAATGAAGGACGGATGCGACCTGAACAAGTGAAGAAAGTGGTTCAAGATGAATGGCATTCCTCAAGGAACCAGCTTGTTTTTGTCTCTTTTTGTGGAAAGAATATGACAGAATCTCAGACGAGTTACAGTACATAATTCTTTTTAAATGCAACATCCTTTTTTCTGCTTGGAAGCAGGCTTCGAGAGATGAGTAGACAAAAAGGAGTCCGTATCACCCTAAACCCTAAGCCGACCCTGGAGTGCTGATACTGCTGGGATGCCTCTCCTCTCCTCGAAGCTGTCAAAGCCTCGGAAGGTTGAAGAAGAGAAGCCGAAGTCGAAAGAAGCGCCTTGGAGGGATGGAGCTTTTTGCGACCTTTTTGGTGGAAAATGTGCTGGTGATTCTACACGGTTTGAGAGATTTTACACGGAAATGGACTGGTGCCGCGGTTGCGGGAGTGGGGAAGTACTAAGTTACTAATGCATGAACTTGGAGGCTGACAAGGGTTTGAGTTCATGGAAAAGGGTCTTTTGATAGAACAGAGGTCCAAAACACCTTACACTCTTCACGCTGATTGCCGTTTGAACTTGTTGAACTGATGTGATATTGTGAAGTTTGCTCAGTAGATCTGGGTGGTGTTTCAGATAATGTGATTTTAGACCTTTGCTTGAGACATCTTGGGCTGATTGTTGAACATCACCAAAAAGTATAGAAGGAACTTTAACAAAACGCACAAAAGTTCGTCTTTTCAGCTTTTGGTTCCTTGCCTTTCTGAAAACTCGGCTTGCTTCCGACCTGTTGGGCCCTGGGAACCGGTGAAACCGGTCCGAGCGAACGGCGGGAATCGGTTTTGGGGGCCTTGGGAACGGGAAGAACTCTAAGATGGGGATGGCGGATGGCGGATGGCGGTGTAGCTGCAGCTTTGAGGTTCACCGGTTTCTATTTTGGTTTATATCTCCCCTCCATTTATTAGAAGAATTTGTGGGAAGAATGCGTGCCAGTTCTGAATTCGTACTCTCTCACCCTATGAGTGATGCTGCCAGGTCGCACCCTGCAGAAAGTAAAGGATGTCATGTTACAAAATTCCTTCTCTTTTTGCGTTGTCGTCCTTGTGCAATGAAGCCGACGCTCCATCCCACCAATGGAAGCCAGTGCGAGACCTTTGCAAGCGAAGCCGTTGGAACTCTGGGGGCAACAAAACGTTTCTTTGCAATGATTAGCCCAACAAGTATATCAAGGGAGGTCTCTTTAAAAGAGCAAGAGCAAAGAGGAGGTCTTCCTTGCGCATCCAGTGATCAGCTCCCACTCTCTCCTGCCACGGCAAAGCCGCTTTTGCCCTGAGGAACAAGATGCTCGGATTGCAGTCAGAGTTTTTGGGGTACGAGACAGCGGGACAGAGTTACTACATCAGAGCTGCTACGTTTCTTTTCTTGTTTAAACCACGTGTTCTTTTTGACAGATACCGAAACAAGTAAAAACATAGTATTTGTATGTATGCACTAGTTATTAGTTTTATAAATAGAACAGATAGCAACATCCTATCCCTTATATATTCCCTGAGACTCTTCCAGGATGCTTTCTTCATTGACACACGGATCCTGTCCGAGGTGCGAGGTGTGAGGTGCGAGGTTCGTCTTGGTGCTTGGACCTCCAAGCACCAACTATGAACAGAGTAATAGATGGTGACTTCTGAACCTTCATATGGTAGAACAGCGCCCATTTGCCTTTATAACCTGAGTGACTTCTAATTTGGGTAGGCCAAGCGCCGAGTACGTGTGTATGGGAGACCGACCCGACCAGTCTACCCAGAGGGCGAGCGGGGGTCTCCCCATTACACCCATATCCTTTGGGATCAGGCTCATCCATCCTCATCCCCTCAAGCAGGCTGGAAACACATTTTGGGAGTCCGTTTTTGCACCCTCGCGTGCATCCCAGGAAGAAGAAGTCACGGTCCCGCAAGCGAAGAAGAAAGAGCAGGTTGCTGAGGGAAGGGCAGAGTGCTGACTGGAGTGTGGTATAGCAAATCGACGTGCACTACATAAAGTGCACAATTTGTTTATTTATCCAGGCACGACTTGAATATGTATACGTGACTGTTTCTTCAAAAGAATGATCTGCGGGCCACCACTATTGATTGTCAAACGCCTGTTTCAAAAGGTACCTGCTACACTGCTACCACTCTTAGTTTCCACGTGTTTCTTCAGGGTACAGAACAGCCTAGCTGGTCTAAATTAGATTGCAAAGCGAAGCAGAGATGGCCCTATTTAGGGGAGGGAAGTATGAACTCTCGCTGCATAGGTTTTATGAGTCTGAGCTCAACCGGATTCCGTGCTTTAGAATGGGTATAGCGACGGACTGAAACTTAGAATGGGGGTCAGGTTTCCAATTTTTTGAAAGAATGATCTTAGAATGCTGCATACACTGAGGCATTTTAAGTTTCAGGCGTCCAAAAACGTACATTCTGCAGTAAAATTTGGCGTTCTATCTTTGCTTATTTTAGGGCATTATTTGTGAGAGGGGCTATATAAACTTCTCCAAAATGCCTGTGTTCTCCCGATTTGCTGGCGCTGCGACTTTCATTCCGGTGTCACAAATTTGCAACACATCATTCTAATTTCAGTCCGTCGCTATACTTGTCGGCGGTATCGCCCAAGTGGGACAAGTCAACAACAGGCAATGATCATCGTCCAGGTGTAGAGAAGATGGACGAATACGGGAGCATTTCCACTCACTGAAATAATTGCATGGTGATGTGGACAGCATTGTCCCTTGGAGGACAATTTTCCGAATACCAAACCAAACATGTGATGATCATCCACATCCATGATTGTTCCAAGGAGTGTCTTGTCCTATATTCGTCCTTTGCTTGTTCTGATGACTCTGTCTTGACCATTTTACACATGCCGAGCTCGGACGGCCGTCGTATGAAGAGCAAAATCGCGCGACCAAGGGAGCAAGCATCATCAATAACAGTTCGAAGGGTTGATTCATTCTGTTCTCAATCTCAAATACATCACATGTTCTTTTGGAATCTCCCCTGTAGTTCCACTATTGGCAGTCTTTGTCTCTGATCAGCTGTGGCTTATTTGAAGGAGTTGCCACACCCCAAACCCAAACACTCAGTCGATAAGTACCTACATTTGACGTGGGTTTCGGCATGTTCCGAATATCACGATCATGACATGTACCTTCTATAAAGATATATGAAAAACAGTAGGTATATAGTTCATACCTGCTCAAGCCTTGATTCATGTAGTTCATACCTGATCTTGCCCATAGTCTTTGGAACTCAATCCCCCCACGCTGCAGTTCGAGCTCTCGCAGCTTGTCGAAGAGTCCTGTGCAAGCCGCCCTCGATGGGCTGCCGCAGGCGGTCGAAACGAAAACGCCCGGGGGCAGGTGGCGGAAACGTTCTTCCGGGACAGGGGGGTTGGGGGGAGTTGGAGTGTGTGGCTGCGGATCATTCACTTGGTATAGCAAGGTATACACGGCTGAAGCAAGCTTTCCTTGCTCGAATTGGACACAGCTTTGTCCGATTGCTTTCAAGAATGCGCATTTTTATGAGCCACAGCCAGAAAATAGCAGGAGTATGGTGTTGCACAAGCAGTCTGTAACTTTTCGAATCCTTTGCATCTATATTTGGTTGAGTCATTTGTTTGGGTTTCCTCGCAGCTGGGCAGCCGGAATCCTTTTCGACCAAACATCGTGCAGGCGCGAGTGGTAGCGGTGCGAGGCCACTTTGCCCAGTGCGCCAGCTTTGTGGTGCTTTTGTCAGTGTTGAGACCTGCGGATGTTTTTCTCATAGTTTTTCTCATGGAAACTCCGGCTTTCAGCAGACGACTCCAGAGCTACCACGTGGCCATGCAGTGATGCTACTTCACACGCACTGATGTGACAATAACCCAACCCCACCGAGCTACCACGGTGGAGGCCATCGCCACGTCCGTCCCTTTCCGTGTTGGTCCCACGTCCGTCCCACGGTCCGATCGTTCCGTGCCCAGGTACCTGAGCCCTGCGGGTGAGACGTTCTACAAGAACGTTTTGACGGGGGAGGCGTGTTTTCCGGTTCCTGCAGTTTCTAAGGGGGACAACTCTGCTAAGACGTGTCCAGAGAAAGAAAAGATAATTACAGATCTAAGGTGGGGTGACACAGAAAAAATATGGTTCCCCACAGGTAATATATGGGAATATAATTGGCTCTTCCTTTCAAGTAATCTTAAGGAGTTGTAGCCATTTTTGGACACAGTGGGAAGACCCCCACCCCCCTACGATGGTTGGACAACGCGGATGAACTCGGGTGCTATGCTGTTGATGCTGATGGGAACAAGGCCTTTGACTCTCTGTCTTTGGGGTATTAGGAAACTTGGATCGATTGGTTTCTAGGCTAGGAGCAAGGACGCTACTAGTAGCTCCTGGCATCGCTACCAAGAACAAGGGCATCGGTACGAACGGAGGGATCGGACGCTACGAAGGTAGCGATGCCAGGAGCTACGTTCGTAGCGTCCGATCGCTCCAATGATTCGTGGGGTCCTTGGTGCCAAGATTCCATCCTGCCCCACTCCCTCTACTTTCATCGACTCCGAAGCAGATGAATTCACGGTCTTCATC